ATATATTTTATATATGTTGTGATATAAAATATACAGACAATACGACCAAATGTCTGATCGTCCCGTCTTTTGTCTCAGGGCATTGAGTGGACCAACATCGAGTACTTCAACAACGCCATCATCTGTGACCTCATCGAGAACGTACGTCAACACACGAGGTCTCGTTGTTAAAAATACGATCTTACTGTTTAACTATACTCTGTTTCCTGTTTTATCGCCCCCTGGTGACCAGAACCAAAACGGCATCATGGCCATGTTGGATGAGGAGTGCCTGCGACCCGGGACGGTCACCGATGAGACGTTCCTGGACAAACTGAACACCGTGTGTGCCGAGCACCAGCACTTTGAGAGTCGCCTCAGCAAGAATTCAAAGTTCCTCACCGACCACAGTCTGCCACACAACTGCTTCAGGATACAGCACTACGCCGGCAAGGTACTGGGCGGAGAACCAGGACCCGGGATGTGGAGATAAAGTTTTCATGATCCGTATCCGCAGACAGAGACAGAGATTTCATGATCCGTATCCACAGACAGAGACAGAGTTTACCTTTCTGTTTGTTCTTTTTTTTTTTTCCTCCAGGTTCTGTACCGCGTCGAAGGATTCATGGACAAGAATAACGACCTGTTGTACCGAGACCTTTCCCAGGCCATGTACAAGGCCAACCACAGCCTCATCAAACAGCTGTTCCCTGAAGGCAACCCGGCCAAAGTCAACCTGAAGAGACCACCGACCGCCGGATTCCAGTTCAAGGCCTCGGTCGGAACGCTAATGAGGAACCTGCAGACCAAGAACCCAAACTACATCCGGTGAGTCTCACCAAAGGTGTCGCTGTTTTTTTTTTTTTTTAAGTCAACGGGTGGTCAACGGGTGGCCGAAATTGGGATATCAAACGGTTAAATAATCACGATTCGTTGGGATAAATCAACATTCCCAAATGACATTTTTTCCTGTAAATTGCTGAAACAGAACGACAAATAACAGCAGGTAAATAAATCTGAATCGATCAATCCAAACATGTCAAGAACAATACGCAAAAAAAAAAATTATAACTAATCATTGATTAGACTCTGATCAAACTCCAACCTTTGTTCCTCAGATGTATCAAACCCAATGACAAGAAGGCCTCCCACATCTTCACCGAGTCCCTGGTGCGTCATCAGGTTCACTACCTGGGCCTGATGGAGAACGTCCGTGTTCGCCGAGCGGGCTACGCCTTCCGTCAGCCCTACGAGCCCTGTCTGGAGCGCTACAAGATGCTGTGCAAACGGACCTGGCCTCACTGGAGAGGACCCGCCAGGTGATGGTCGTTTATTCTA